CCGAAAGCATGTTTTCTGGCAAACGGAGTTGGAACTTGATGTGGCAGGTCGATCCCAAACTTTGGATCCTATAAGGGTTGATGATGAGGGTGTAGGTCCTCAGGTGGATGGTAAAGAAATGAAAGAGTTAAAGAATATGTTGATAGAGTTACTAGATGGAATGGTAAAGATGAATAAAACCATGGAAGATGGTTTTAAAATGATGAGCAGTACGTTTGGTGGGTATGAAACAAGGCTCAAGGCTATGGAATCATTTGTAAACACATTTCAGGGATTGAATGATAGTGGTGATTTTGGTGTTGATGATTATAGCCCTCCATCTAGGTTTTGGACTAAGGGTGATTGCTTTGGTGGTGGACAGAAGGATCTGAAGGAGCCAGAGAGTGGAGTGGAGAAGGAGACACATGTCGAAGCTGAGAAGGAGCCAGAGAGTGGAGTGGAGAAGGAGACACAGGCCGAAGGTGAGAAGGAGCCAGAGAGTGGAGTGGAGAAGGAGACACATGCCGAAGGTGAGAAGGAGCCAGAGAGTGGAGTGGAGAAGGTGACACAGGCCGAAGCTGAAGAGGAGCCAAAGGAAGCCGAGAAGGAGGCAGAGGCAGAAGGTGAGAAGGAGCCGGAGGCACAAGCTGAGAAGGGGGAGAGGAGTGAAGTGGAGAAGGAGGCAAAGGCAGAAGCTGAAGAAGAGGAGGAGGCAGAGACAGAAGAAGAGAATGAAGTTGTTGGTGAGAAGAGGATTAAGAAGCCAGCACCAGCACTAAGGACTCCCTACATGGTCCCAAACCCAGCAGAGAGGACCAAGAAGAATTGAAGAACTGATACTCATCCTCTTGTCTTGAATTCTATCTATTATATTTTGCTTTTGTTTATGCAATTTGGTTTAAGACTTCCTACCACTAGTTCTTTTTATGGCAAACTGTGAACGTATCTTTGTTTCCAAACTAGATTTAGTGTTTGTACTACTAGTACTTTGAGGTAAAATTGTGAATGGGTGTTTGTACTACTGGTACTTTTAGGTAAAACTGTGAACGGGTATTTGTACTACTGATACTTTTTAGTAAAACTATGAACGCACGTTTGATTCGAAATGGATTAGTGCAATAATTGGAGATAAGTACAATAGAAGAATACAATAGAAGAACCAAACAAACTAGTTTCCAAATCAATCCAAAACATACAAGTAGAATAGATAAGTTTTCCAAAACAATCTAAAACATACAATTACAATAGAACCAAACAAGTACTCGTTCAACAAAGCAATCCAAAACAAACAAATAGAATAGATAAATTTCCAAATCCGTCTCCCTTTCATCTCTTCAAATCGGTTTCCAAATTCGTCACCTTTGCTTGAAGTTTGAAAGTCATCTCCCTTAGGTCATTGACTTCTTTGTCACTTCTTACAACTTTGGTTACCATCTCAATGAGTTTGTCATTCTGTTCCTTGCAAAGGTTGACCATCTCCTGAAGCTTCTTCTTCTCTTCTTCAACAGTGGTGAGCAATCCAAATAGGCGACCTTCTATTTCTCCCAATTTTGTTTTGGTTAAAGTAATCTCCTCCAAGATTGCGTCATCCAGCAATTTGTAAATGTGGCAATCTCCATCCTAAGCTCCAATTAATTAGATATGTAACAAACATTTAGCAAAATGATAAAAATAAGAGTATCACCAGCACGAATATAAGTTCCTTACACGAATATCACCAACACAAGAGTAGAATTTGGTCCTAGTCAATAACCCAATTGTTTGAGTCTTAAGCACAACTGGTTTTCCACGGTAACATATGGTTGGAATGTCAATAGGTGAGGGCTCCCATGTCACCGAAGTCGGAGGAGATCGAGTCGGAGTTACATCTGCCATATAATCATATTTGGGCATTTCGAGTTCGTCATCCGAATCTGATGAGTTGCTATTGTTGGACCTAGTATCGAACTCGCCGTATATGAGGCTCTCATGGTTCCAACGACCCATGTTTCTAGAATGAATCGATTTATACAATGGATCGAAGATCTAAATCATAAAATTAAAACCCAACAAATAGACTGATGAAACGCGAAATGGAAAGTTACCGTAATAGGAAATGGAAACTATCGAATCTTCGTCGCCGAAATAGAACCCTAGATTTTGGGGAAATTCAGTTTACAGTTAAAAAACACCTGAAACCTGTACTTCTCTTTCTTTAATATTTGAAAATTAAAAAAACAAGAATATACACATAAATGGGTCTAACCCAATCAAAGAATACCAGCTAATTAAGTCATGTGCGCCGTTATTAGGAAACGTGCGCCGTCATTTAACACATAGTTTTACCCCAGTTTTTTAGTTGTGCATATTTTTTAATAGTTGTATTTTTGGTGATTTAGCTAATATTTAGTTTTACCATACTATGGAAAACAATTTTTAAGTTGTACAACTTATTTTTGGAAATAGAAACACATTTATTTAGTTACCATGTCAAAATATGTTGAATATCATATTTCCTGTCAGTATTTGCATCATAAGGTATACAACACTATACTATCAAACTATACATAAAAGTGTAATGTGATCCATGGAAGATTGTGAAAATTTGTATTCAAGAATTCGTTTTAATTTACTTATATTTGAGAAATTAAAATTTAGATAAATAACATAATTGATCTTAAGTTTGAAACTAAATTTAGTTATTTGTCTTTTTTATTACATTAC